TAAACATTTTTGTTGAACGATCATCGATTTATTTCCCATCATGGAGGGGGTTAACTGAACAATACAGTTTTGGAAACAAAAATTGACAATTATTTAAAACAGGTATATACACCCATATAGGTATAGTGATTAAACCGTTGAGGATTTTTTCCCCCACCTCGTCGGGTGATTATTATTTTTTGCTTTCCACGCTTCACTTATAACAACGAATCTTGAGGGCAAAACATAAACATATATGGACAATTTCAAAGTTTCATCGAAACTCGACGTGAATAATGTCGATGAGCTGATCAATCAGATGCATACCGGAGTTGTGTATCGAAAGACAAAAACGCTATGGCGCACAGCACATAGCACATACCTTCCGTGTGAAAAGTGTTCAAAACTAAAACGATTACCAAAACGAGTATTACAATGTACCTCATTATGAAAATCCTTCACCACAATAATTCGAAACTCATATTATTACCTTTGTTTTGTATATATTATTGTTAATGACTTATTCTTGTTAAAAAAAAAATATTTATGTTAAAGGCCAATAACCTTTGTTGTTGAGGCTCATTTAAAATAAAAAAAAAAAAAATAATTCGAAACGATGGTCATTTCATATGATGGGTTATGGGTATATAATATTAATTAAAGTGTCGCTATTGATTCCGCGTGTAGGTATACATAATAGAGGTTTTGTTTTTTGCAATGGTTAGTTTTCAACTGCTACAACAGAGTTCGGTTTCTAAGCCCCCGGAAGTCACGGCGACCACTTTGATGCATAATCATATATTATAGAATAACTGTAAAAAGGGCAGTTGTTGTTGTCTTTACCGGACGCGTGTTTCATGTAGTCCACGTTGTACGGCCCGACGTTTTGGGCGCCGGTCAGCACGTTTGGTTCGCCCAGCAGCGACCGGAAGTGACGGACGTCGGCGTCGGTCACACGGCTGTACTCGCCCCGGACGTGGCGCACGTCGTTTACGATCTTGGCGTTCGATGCCACTGCAGGCCCCGCTGACGACCTCTTCCGTCGGCACTGAAGGGCCCGGTGCAAAAGCATCCGTCTGATATAGGTCACGGGTTTTGGCGAGTACATAACGATGACGATTTATGTCGATGAATATATTGACAATCGTCAAGGTACTTATTATACGTATTATATTAAGTGCCAACGACGCGATGGTGCGTAACTACGCTGCACGTCACGAGGATAGGCAATGATGGYGTGTACGAACACTACGAACCACTATCGAAACAAAACGCACAAAACGCGGATGTCGTATTAGATGAATAATTAAAATAGATCGCGATGGACAGCGGATAAAACGTGTACGGAAAATTCGCGTATTTATTATGATAACTACGCGAATCGGCTAAGATTAAGCAAGTAAATAATAAATATRTATCCGTGGGCATCTGTTCTTTACAACGCACTGTCGAACCGTAGTCGTCGACGTAAATATCTAGTCGTTGTTGTTACACTGATAACTACAGTGTAAAGATAACAACTGCAATATACAAACTTCATTAATTAGCGGCACATATACATATTATGGCATACTATTTATAATTGTAATAGAACATATATAGTCATAACATGTACCTATACGATAAAAATTGATAATTTTAATTTGGAAAAACATGACATAATACACCATAGCATTTTTCATTCGTTTGAATAATATATTAATTAATCACATAAATTATGCAAAGAAAAAAATAACATTACTTTTATTATACTWTTCAATTTATCTGTTATTGTAACAAATAGTAAGTAATAATTACTATCTTATTGAACCAATAGAACATCCGTGTATAGTATAAAAATAAAAACAGAATTCGTATATTATTATAGTAGGTACCAATTATATTTTAGTARTTTATGATTATTTATCCTGAGAAAATATTATTTTGCGATTTTCAATAATATTACCTGACCTGCTCCCTACTTCTATAATGTGTGCGTGGCATGTGTGCCAATAATGTCTTCTACACTAGATTACCAACACACAACAGTGCATTATAATATCACAAATTATACAACATATAAGGGAGTATATATTTTCATAAATGATTGTATATTGGTATTATACTGTTATTTGTAATCAATTGATCATGGAATTCTATGGTTGTATGATAAACATAGCGTGCTTTTTATTGAGTTTTTAATCGTTATTATTATGTTCTAAACATGTAAACATTGTTCGCTGATTCCAATACTATCCCATTACCTAATAATAGCCACACTCCCACACTAACGATAAGTCGTTGGCTAAATTTATTTCTACACTTTTTTCATTAATTAATTCTCTAATCACGTTCCTTACAGTTATTCTTAACAAACAACTTATTCCATATTCCAATCTTTATTAACTCATTAACATTATTATAAATTATAATAATTTTAATTGTTGTATACGTTATCTTAACTGTACATTTTCATGGTTTCCGAACCATTATTATTTTATATAGTACTCCGTTATCATCATCTAAATCACAATGTTCACAAATCTTTTTTTTTGTAATGTATACCTTAATTATCTTTGTTATATTTTGATAATTGTTGAGGTAACATAGTTAAACTAGAAACTAATACTTAATAATAAAAAAAATAATATATATATACATATATATACATATATATAAGTTGAATAATTTAATTAATTGAATTCTCATTAAAGAGAAAATTTTTTGTGAATTATTATCCAATAGCCAATAGGTATATAAATGTGGGAACAATTAAAATATTTTAGCGGTTTAGCCCTCTTCCTTTTAATTTCTCAGCCAGTTACGTCTGTGATTTAAGCTACAATGAGAACATTGAGAACAAATGTTGCATCACTGCAAGTTTAAAGCAAATTGTACATGATTAAATTAATCAACTACTGCAGCGCGTTYGATTTATTTAAAAAATTAAAATCCATAAAATTAGTTAAATTAGGCGCCTCAATAGATTAATTGTCTGAAGACTTTATGCTATGTTTTTGATTGCAAGCATCTATACGGTGTAGTCGGTGTACTATAGCCACTAATACGCATATGTCTTCAATACAATACGTTTTGTAGTTTAAGCTTTAGCCTTTAAATATATATCATAAAAGCAATTAAAATATAGTTATTCAGTCGACCAAACCTGTTATTATAGATCAGAATTAAGTACAAAAAATACAATCAGTTTATACTATTGACTTGCTTGGCGCAAGCAATGCACATAATATATGTATGACAGGTCAAAATAAAGTTTAGAATACAATAAAACTATGGATTTTCTATAGTACGCATACTATAGGTATTTAAACGATCACATGCAAAACCGTAAAAATAAAAACGATTAAAGACGTCGGATTTCCACTATACCGTATCATGTCATGTCCTATTTATTAAACTTGTAGGTAACATTTTTATTTTATTTTTTGACGACATGACAAAACGCATAGTGTTAATCTGGATTAATTTTAAATCACACTTTGGAGTTTGTTTAAAYAGGACGTGTGTGATACGAAAATTCGGAGATCCTATTTAGTATACTATTTACGTYTTCAAAACGTATTATATTCAGTGGATAATACGAAAAATGTTTTTGAATAATAATTCCACGAAATCGATTTGATAGCATATGTCGTGGWATAAAAAAAAAATAGATTATTTTATATTTTGTTTTAATTTATATTTGTATTTTCGACCGCAATCATTTTTCTACAACAAAATATTATATTATACATTTATTCATTTATAACGAATTGGTTTTTTTGTAAACATCTATAAAGTGGACAGTAACGCGTCATTAATGTTATGATGATATTTTTTTTCATCATGAATAATTTGAGTTTATTATAATATACCGTATACGAATGTTTATAATAATATTTTATGTGAATGATCACGTTCCGATTAATATATTTATATTATTTATATGRGATTATTCAAATGAATCAAATTGATTATTAATAAATAATAAAACGTATATAATTTTATTCGAGGTGGGTTTTTTTCGGTGAAATATATATTAACATTATATTATAAATATTATCATCAATGACGTTTGTACAAAGTATACCATTATACCAATACCWATACCATAAATGATAAGTCTACAATATTTATTATACTCGATACTGGTTTAAACACTAACGTCCTTTCATACGCGTAAAGCAAAATATGATTAAATGAAAATAAAATATTCATAAAATGGTAGTAAATATATGATTTAATAGATAGTATCAAATCTTTATAAATATTAAGTAGGTAGGTTGTATTAGTTTTGTCTTTAATAATGACTAATAATATTTTATTTTTAGTATGTATAATAAAAAAAAAGTCTTTAAGAAATAAGAAGTGTCACTACTGACTTCTTCCAACTCATCATGCCATTGTAAATCAGCCTATATTCTTATTTTTCCTCAGAGTACTGATTGTATATTTCTTATAAAAAAAAAATTTTAAAAAAGTATGTATAATATCCTAAGCTCATTATTTATGAACAAACTCTTGCCACACTCCATGCCTTCATCTCTATGCTTATTGAAAATAATTCTTTTCGAGCTGCATTACAATAGTGAACAGTAAAATTTACAAAACCAGAAAAGTATAATATAGGTATATAAAGTTGATTCTAAGACAAACAATTCTAATTAATAAATTGCTATTAATCCAATTTATCACAACTATTGGTATAAACTATTAAAACTGATGATATTTTTTGTTGCTWAAGTGTTGTTAAGTTAACGTCTACGTATGTAAATATTTATTCTATTGTTGTAATACGTGTATATCTGAGAAAGCCATAATTTAATCTTATTTACTATAYTATTGTACCTTAAGTAGAAGTAGGTACAGCATAAACTGTCGAAACATCAGATTAATAAAAGTCAACTACTATTATGTTTTCACTCTTGACAAAGATTATGCGAATATTACCGTCAATCAGAAAATATAGAGTCAAGAACGTATTAATAATTATAGTAAAAAAAATAACTTTTCTACGTATAAGTAGTTAATAGTTATATATGCGTAGTACCTAATAATTATTATTATTATGAACACTATATTTTATAGCTGCAAAGCTGCAGCTGTCAGTTTAATAAAATATACTTAAATAGATTTGATGGAAATAAAAAGAACATTTTTCGCTTACGTAAGTACGATACGTCATCGTGTCGAGATGAATATATTCTACATTATTGTAGTAAAAATTTAAAGAAAAATCACATGTATTTTCCGCCGTTGTGTTTGCACGCTCACTCGCGTATTTGATATCGTCGCGTCATATTATTTATTTATTATTATTATTATTATTGTGATGCATAATGCATAATATATATATATATACGAACGATCCACTGCGACAATACCGCATTTGTCAAGCAAACAAAACACATCAGTCTTGTCGAATGACATCCAAAATCCTCTCTCGCTTGTGCACCTGCCTAATATATTATAGTATATAGTTACTCGAAAATGCCGAAAGATGAGTAGTACAGTTAGTACACTAGTATACTGCAGAACAGTTAACCCCTCATCTAAATATTCACAGTTATAAGTTTGTATTTGTGAAAACATTTGTATAAATTTTATAATATACCGTTGTTTATAATTTATCACGTGTATTGGAAAACGATAAAAAAGAACGCGATTTTGGAGGTGACGAATATTTTTAAATCGGATTTTATAACACAGAATTACTAGTATTTCTACTAATAATGTGTAAAAGTTTTATTTTTTTATTGATAGAAATTATATAAATAAACACAATTAAACAACTGTCAATTTATAATTTAATAATTATACTTAATCTATCTTAATTGTTGAGTTGTAATAAAGTGCTAGAGTTAAACTTGAAGCTTAATAATAATAATATAATTAAATAATTAATAGTGTATAATTAATATTTAACATTGTGTTCTAGTTCTAATAATAACCATGGTTATTGCAATAATTTAAGTTGGTATAGTTTACATTATAATTTATAAGTTTAATATATTATATCCAAGTGATTTCACAATGACGAGATACGCTCGAACACTAGACCTACTGTACATTAAAGCGGTTACCTACTTTTGTCTTTTTTACAAATTATTTTATACCATTATTTGAAAAAAGAAAAATTCAAAGCAAGCTGTAAAAGGCCTTTTTCATTCAGATAAAAAAACTGTTTGATTACACAATCAAAATACAATTCTACGAAACCTAAAACTATTTACTGTGAATGTGTGAAGTATTTTTTTCAAATAAAATACGCTGTACTCCCCTCCACCCTAACATAAAGTTRTATCGGGCAGTAGGTAAATGGAAAAGTATTATAATAAAACTTCTATCATATAAAATATATTTTCAGATTTTATAGATTTGTGGACAATTTGAAAACTCGACATTAGGTACCTTATACATGTTGGTGAACAGTCAACACTCAACAAGCTAATTTTGTTCCACAGACTACAGA